CAATCTTTGCTAGAAAATACAGTTGTAAAAGTGTTGGAATCAAAAATGAATTCCTAAATGAATCATTTAATGCTAAAAGAAGTTCCTACCAGTTATGAACCCTTGAATATTAATGCTGAAGACTCTAACGGAGTCAAGCTGATTAACTAAATTTTCTTGCAACATATTAGTTTTGATTGTAAAATCTCTTTGTAGAACTCAAGAACAAAATAGTTGTGCAAGTTTATTTAAGCAAGATTAGCCATTGATAGAGCAAAGGAAACTTCAGAATAGAGTTGAATAATTGATGAGGAAGAAAGTTTTATAATATAGGAGTGCAATAATTCAAATCAAAAATTCTACCCAATTGGAGAGATTGGAACTTATACCATTTAGTAATTGGAAGTTTCCTCTTTCCGTTATTATTTTTATCTTTTCCAAGGATATTATAGTAATTGACTAACTAACCTTCTCCAAAAAAATTATAAACAAATGCTAGTAATAGACGCTATATCAGCAGTAATTTAAAATAATTTTGCAATAAAGTTAATAACCGTTAAGACCGACTTTATAAATAAAAAGAATAAATCAAATAAAATAATTTGGTTACAAAGAAACATTCTAACTAACTAATAGAACAAAGACCTATCTCATGGGCAACGCTACCTCAAAGATCCATAACAATGTGGGAGTTGATTATTTTATATTAGAATTTTCTCAAATATATATTCTTACAATTATATTATTTCTACTACTCAACTAAAGTTGCTTTATTAAAAAATTATAATAATAAATCCAAAATATATAGGAATGGTTCAATTCTATTTTTGTAAAAGCTATATTTCTCTTTTTAAATCATAATAGTATTCCAAAGCTTCTACTTATTTATACATATCTTCTAATGTTTATGCTGCATAAATTCATATCATCATATTTACCTTTGCTAACCTAATATTCTGAATTTTCAGGGTCTTTCTAAATCGCTTAATCGTAATATTCTAATGCTTCTTCATATCTATCCATTTTTTTTAAAGCTAGTGCTGCATAAAGGGATATAATATTATTTACCTTTTAAGATAAAATATTCGGATTTTTCAGGGTTTTTCAAAATAGCTGAATCATAATTTTCTAATGCTTCTTCATATCTATTCAGTTTTAATAGAGTACGTGCTTTATAAATTCATATATTTCTATTTTACCTTTAAAATAAAAATTTTCGGAAATTTCTGGGCTTTTCTAAATAGCTGAATCAAACTATTCTATCGCTTCTTCATATCTATCCATTTTTTCTAGAGTTCTGCCTGCAGAAATTTTCATAAAAATATTTACCTTTACCAAAATAATGTTCTGATTTTTCAGGGTTTTTCTAAATAGCCAAATCATGATATTCTAATGCTTCTTCATATCTATTCATATTTTCCAGAGTTAGTGCTGCCCAAATTCATATTATACTATCTACCTTTACAAAAATGATATTCTGATTTTTCAGGGCTTTTCTAGATAGCAGAATCATAATATTCTAATGCTTCTTACTATCTATTCATCTTATCTAGAGTTAATCCTAAAAAATATTCAAAATATGAGTACCTTTTCCAAAATGATATTCTGGATTTTCAGGGTTTTTTTAAATAGCCAAATCAAAATATATCAATGCTTCTTTGTATATATTCATTTCCTATAAAGCCATTGCTAGAAAGGATGAATTTTCTCTATACCTTTGTTATAAAAATATACAGACTCTTCAGGGTCTATCTAAATAGCTAAATCAATATTTGATATTGCCTCTTAAAATCTTTCCATTTATATTAAAATTACTGCTAAAAAGTATAATTATACAATTTTACCTTTGAAATTATAAACCTCTGGCAATTCAGAGTTTTTCTAAATAGCCATATCACAGCAATCTAATGCTTCTTATAATCTATTCATTTATAATAAAGTTGATGCTAAAATAAAATAAATGATCAAATTACCTTTGTTAGTATATTATATGGCCATTTCAGGATTTCTCTAAATAGCTAAATCACAATAGTATAATGCTTCTTCAAATCTATTCATTTTTTGTAAAGTTTCAGCTTGAAAAGTATGAAGAGTTAATTGTACATTTGATGTAATAATTGTTCGAATTATTAGAGTCTTTTACAATAGCAAGATCACAATATTATAATGCCTCTTCATACCTATTCATTTTATTTAATGCCTCACCTACAAAATAGTTGTAATATTTACATTTGTTAGAATATATTAATGAATTTTATGGGTTATAATAAATAGCTTAGTCTAACGATTTTAATGCTTATTCAAATTGATTCATTTAAACTAAAGAAATTGCTACAAAAAAGATGAAATTAAAAAAGATACCTTTATTATTATAACATTCAAAAATTTCAGGATTTCTCTAAATAGCCATATCCCAATATAATAAAGCTTCTTCTTATCTATTCATTTAATTTAAAGTTGATGCTAATAAGAATGTATGGCAAAATACCTTTTTAAAAATAGTTGTATGAAATTTAAGGGTTTATCTAAATAGCTAAATCACAATATTATAAAGCTTCTTCATTTCTATTCATTTTTTATAATGCTACAGCTAAAGAAGTATATATGGTTAATAAACCTTTGTTACTAAAATAAAGTGATTCTTCAGGATTTTTCTATAGAGCTAAATCACAAAAGTTATTTGCCTCTTCTACTCTATCCAATTGCATTAATATAATTGCTAAAAAGGATGACTATTCAAAATAAACCTTTGATATGATAATATTCTGCCATTTCAGGGTTTCTCTAAATAGCAAAATCGCTATATTCCAATGCTTCTTCAAATCTATTCATTTTTTATAAAGCATCAGCTACATGAGAATACTTGACTAATGCTACCTTTGTGATAAATATATTGCGAATTTTCAGGGTTTCTTTAAATTGCTAAATCATAATATTTTAAGGATTCTTCAAATCTACCCATCTTTTTTAATATTTCAGCTATAGAAATTAAATGGTATATTATACCCTTGTTGTTAAAAAAAAGTGGTTCTTCAGAATTTTTAAATATAGCTAAATCAAAAAATTTCAATGCCTCTTCCAATCTATCCATTTCAGCTAACGTAATTGCTAAATAGTATGACTGCTAAAAATATACCTTTGCTATTATAATATTCTGGGTTATCAGGATTTTTTTCAATAGCCTAGTCAAAATACTATGATGCTTCCTCAAATCTCTTCATTTTATATAAAACATCAGCTACATAAAATCTTGACTAATTCTACCTTTTATATAAAAGTAGAATGATTCTTTCGGGTTTTTCTAAATAGCCTAATCACAATATTTTAATGCTTCTCCTAGTCTATTCATATGCGTTAAAGTAATTGCTAAAAAGGATGATTGTTCAGCCATACCTTTGTAATTGTAATAATCTGGTATTTCAGAATTTATCTAAATAGCTAAATCCTATGATTATAGTGCTTCCTCGAGTCTTCTCATCTCAACTAAAGCAAGGGCTAATAAAGATGAATAACCTAATATACCTTTGGTTAAATAATGTCCTGAATTTTACGGATCCTTAGAGATACATAAATCGCAATGTTTTATTGCATCTCTAAATCTATCCATAAACAGTAAAGTTTAAGCTAAAGGAATGTATGTTCAAATACTTTTCTCATTATAATATTCTAGAATTTCAGGATTTATCTCAATTGCTAACTCGTAATATTTAATTGCTTGCTCAAACTATTATAATCTCCTTAAAGCAGAAGCTAAGAAGGTTGAATGTTCAACATACCTTTGTTAAAATAATATAGTGAATTTTTGGGATTACTCCAAATAGCTAAATCATAAAATTATAATGCTTCTTTATATTTATTATTATCAACTAGTTTATTTGCTTTTCGAAATATTCGTTTAAATATACCTTACATATTGTAATCTTAATGTTCTTGCCTTTAGATTGTGTCTTCTTATTTAAAATTGAAATAATATATATCAATTGCTGCAAAATGTAAAATGTAACCATACCTTTCTAAAAATTATGTTCTTCGATTCCATCATTTAATAATCCATCTATTTTATATTTTTCTACTTAAATATCTGAACACAAACTTAATTACTTTTTCAAGTTTACTTATTTCTTCAATTCAACTTTTTGCGATTGATTAATTTTAATTCTTCATCTCAATTATAAAATGGTTTTACTTTTTTTTTTTCACTTTATTTTGTTAAAATTTAGCACTATATAACATCCTTAGAGCATTTTATTATATAATTAATAATTAATGGGTGTTAAACCTCCTAAATTAACAAAAAATATTCTCATAAGCTGGATACTATCATTATTCATTTACCTATCATTTAGTTGAAGTTATTTTCACCAAAATGTATCATTAATTTTATTACTTTACAAAATATTATTGTAATTAATTATTTTATAAAATGAAACTAACTAAGGAATATTAATTGTTGAATTGTAATTACAAAATTAACCATCCTATCTCCCCTATGAATGATCTGAAATAAACTTGAATTTTTAAAGATAAAATTTAATAAATTTAGAATGGTGCTCGGCATTGAAAATTGTAATTATGAACACAAATAACAAAATCGTGGAATATTCATTTAGTTTTAGATGACCTTTATTGTGCACCTTAGTAGTGTTGTAAGTTACGACTAAAATGCTTAATACTTATTCTCTTTAACACTCAGATAACATCAATTTTGTCCTATAACAATACCACATTCCTTATAATTTATAAAAGTAAGCTTTCAACCCAAATTCAGAACTACTTTGCTATCAAATTGCCAAAAGTCAAACTCACAGACTATATGATATTCACTTCAACTTAAATAAATATCTCAAATCTGCTCAAATCTGAACTACTATAATAAAATTCTGAAATGAATAACATTTTTATTGATCTAAGTGTTTTAATTTTATTATTGGAAGCTAAAACTTCATCTTTGGCAATCCTTCATAAGGCTTCATATCGTTTATTTTATTCGATTGTTTTGACTCATTATTTACACTATTATAATATACGAAAAGATCTAAACCTTTGTTTCATAAATTTGTAATCTTCCATATTTTAACCATTGAAATTTTTGACTTATTGTTCTCGTTTCATAGTGTCTGCAAAAATTATTATTGTTAAATATGGAAAAAGATGAGACAATAAATATTACTAAACTGAATTCAAATGATTGTAATTACACTAGGAATTACATGTTTAATGTTATTACATTGTTATCAGAACATTTTAATAAATTGAGTAACTCATATGTCAGGCAATTTAATTGTTAGTATCTATAATCTTATATTCACACAATAAATTAGAGTTAATAACCATTATCAGATGAGGATTAACATTTAAATAACTTAATTGAAAATATTAATAACCTTGCATAAATATTTCAACTAATCATTTCATTTATTTTAAATTAATAATAAAAATTAATCAACATTCTGAAAAATTTATTCTAATTCAATTCGAAAATATTTGTTATTTTAATCCAATTATTTACAAAGTTGATTAATTTTGATTTCTTAAATAAATCATTTTTTCATATGTTATTCCTTTTAGTCGATAATTCACAATATTAACTGATGTTAATTTTGTGAATTATCGATTGAATACCCTAAGATTATACATTGGATGGATTTCATCCTTATTTCAGAATAGAATTTGAGAAAGAATCAAATATAATAATAATGTTTTCAGAGAATAATATAATTTGCTTATTACCTATTTTTTGTGATGTTTAGATGCTGAGGATTTTCTGCCAGAATTTAAAAAAAATAAAGCAGATATAAATAATTCACCTAAGTCAAGGGCCAAAAAGTGGTTGAATTTAGAAAATATTTTGGCTTTGCTATTTAAGTTCTATTTAGATGGTATTGAAAAATTTGTTTAGGTTACTCTAAGTATTGAAATCTTAAATGATATTAAAAAAAGTTTATTCAAAAGATATATCAATTAAATTGCATTCATTCTTAAACTATATTAAAATTCATAATCTTGTAAATAATATATTAAGTCGAAACTTAATTTTTTTCTAGTGAATGTAAACAACAATTATAGGCTACCATGTGAGTTATGATATCTACTCAGTATTAACATTGATGAGGAAAACATCAAAGCAGCTACAAGCAGTATCCTTTGATTTATATGCTTTTTAAGCACTCTCCAAACATAAGGCTCACTCACAAAAATTACAATACCTTGTATAATTTTAATGCAGGATAAATTTAACATCAGCACAACCTTTTTGCATATTCATTTGCTCATTGTTTAGTTATATGAGCTCTTAAATTAATAGAAGAGAATTTAAACAAAACAAAAATTTATTAAAGGAGTAAACTATATGCTGTAAATATTTCCTGTCAAGACATTGATAAGTAATTGTTCCCAATTCATAATTTTAGCCTCTAAAATTCATTTTGAGATATTTATGAATATGTATTATTCATTTGAGGAGCTTCATTTGTTAACCATTCAGCTATCCCAATCTGTTGCAAGAATAAATTACAATTTTAGGATCACATAAAATAAAATTTGATCAGGTTAAAATTATTTTAGAACTATAAAATACTTAAATCTTT